GAAATTCCTATGACTATGGTTCTAATAGAAATATGGATAACAAATCTGAAGTTCTTACAATGCTTCGAAACATGCAAATTCAGAAAGATCTTCGTTGTGAAGAAACTGTGGCATGGCGCAATGCTCAAGTGGAGTGGCGTAATGAATCAAAACCTCACATGATAATCCATTCAGGATGTTGAATGCCGGAATGGACAATCATGAATAAAACTTGGAGTTTTCTCTTCTAGATCTGATGCACAATTCCAATTTCCTCATGAAGACATTCTAAAGTCAGACAAAATTCTGCAAGGAAAAGTCAACAATCTCTATTCAGTGTGCGTGTAACAAGGTGATGAAGCTACTACATTTTATGATGAAATCCTTAGAAGGGGAAGGACTTATCAAAGACAAGGAGGTGGTCCACGAGATCGTTAGGGCATGGCATTCAAATGTATATTTTCTCATTAGTCATCATCTTATGCATTTTCATATCATGAACAATGTTATGTTTTGTTTCATGTTCTTTTATTTTGAATTATGTCTTTAAACAATGTTATGCTTTGTTGAATTCTTTGGAGTTATCCTATTTTATGTAGCTAATATGAAAAATGGCCTCTCATTGATATATTAGTTTTTGCTTGCCATTTGGGTTGAAGAATATGATATTTCTCATAGTACTCCTTATTTATTTTTTATGTTGTCAATGAGGGAGAAAAGACATGCTATGATCAAGGGTGAAAGCACATATTCAGGGGAAGCATTGAAAAATGAGTAAAAGTACAAGGCACATGATTCATTGCATTTTTTCCATCATAAAAAAAGGGGGAGTTTGTGAGTCAAATTTCTCTTTGTAAGGCCTTTTGAATGATGTCAAAAATACAAGTGTACAAGTGTCTCTCTAAGCATTGCATGGCCTCTTGGATAGTTTGGTGTATTAGTCCATTTGAGAATGGTTAGGAAGTTATCAAAATGGTGTGTTGAATCATTTGAGTCATTAAAACTAAGTTTTTGAGTCAATTTTTGTTGTATGTGTCGACACATCCGAGTTTCAGGTCAACACATATAACTCGATTTTAAATCCTATGAGCTTCTATAAGTCACAGGTCAACACGTGCATCATACAGGTCGACACATGCATCATAAATGTTGACACATACTGAAAGATTTCTGAAATTGCAGAAATTCTTATTTCATGTGTCGACACATCCATATTTCAGGTTGACACATTTACTCACGTTTTAAAGCCTGTTGCTTCTGACTTGTTCATGTCGACACATAAAGTCATTCAGGTCGACACATGCATTCTTTTAATAACATATGTGTCGACACATACGAATTTGAGGTCGACACATAAAATTTGTTTTGGTCATTTTTTCAATTTCTTTTATTCCAAATTTGTCCTTTTTGCCCTAAACATTTCCAAACTATAAATACCCATTCATGCATCATTCTAAATTCGATGATACCATAAGATTAGCCTACATTTATTCTTCTTCTTCAACCTTCCAATCTATACATACACACCAACATTACATTATGATGATGTTCCACCGGGGTGCCATCTAGACGAAGAATTATGGATTTCTAATTGGTTTGGATTGAGAATTGTAGGGGTCTTGATCTGGGGAAAAACCATCGGGTTTCTCTTCCAAAATAATTTGTTGAATTGGGGATTTTCGGGCAAGATTGTGCGAGAAGGAATCGTCCATGTGAAAACTTCCCTTGGAGTGTTTGAAATCTTTTCAAGAAACCTTAGAGTGTTTGAAATCTTTTTAAGGAAGTAGCAAGAATTTAATGATAGAATCAGTGATCTTGTGCAATCAGATTTACTCGAGTTAAAAATCTCTTGGAGTGTTTGAAATCTTTGCAAAGAACCTTGGAGTATTTGAAATATTTTTAAGGAAGTAGCTTAAGCGGCGAATAGGTTGCATCTATCGGTTAATTTTATCTTGCTTAAGATCAAAGGTTGGAAGAATGAGCATCAACACCAAATTAAAGAATTTTGTATTATTGTTCTATATTTTTCTTTTGTATTAGACAATTTTGCATATAAGAATTATCCTAATTCCATTGGAATTAGACGCACACGTACCTGCACGCGGGGACGACCATGGGGAACTGTGTAGACAAATTCCTTGTGTGTTTTTACTTTTCCGCTTTTACTTGCTTTCAATTTCATCAATCGTTTTAACAAATAGCATTGTGCTAATAATTTTCTCTCAAAATCTATTTTTTGAATTAGGTGTGGATATAGCTTATAATCACTTCTGATTATAAGCAGTTTTGTATATCAACACCACTCAAGGAAAAATAATGAAAATTCACTTGTACGCCAAGTGTTTGATAAAACGATCAAGTTAGTTTTTTGATTATTTGGTCTTGGAGATAACATTGCAAAATGATTGTGTTCAAACAATAAATAAGTGGATTATTGAATTGAGTTTGTGTTAATTGATTATTCAATTTTTTTCATAGATTTAATGTTAACAATTTGTATATCCAAGTTTCTAATAAGTTAAATTTTAGATGACTTATCCAGTGATTTGCTTCCGCATTAAAAAGTTTTGAAATCAATTAAAATTCTAGATTTGTGTCTAGAATTATATTTGCGCCTCTATTCACCCCTCCCCTAAGATACGCGTCATCGTCTAACAATATGGAATCATACACAAAGCTATATGGAAACAAAGAAAATTATGATACAATTCTCAATGCTTTTATTCCTTGTTTTAGTGGCCCGGCTCCGTTTGACAAATTGGTGTGCTCTTTGAAAATGAGACATCTTAAAGAAAATGCTTATGATAGGATATGCATTGATTTAACACAATATGGTTTCTCAGAAATATTCTTTCATCTTTGGAGCAAGCCACCTTATAATCCTTCCGAACACATCATGTGTATTGGTTGGTTATCCAAAAAAACAACATTTTCTTCATTTTTATTTGAAATTGGGATGTCATATACCAAATGCATCACCAGAGTGGACAATACATTTCACATAAGATGTTGAAACATGGCCGGATCATTTTCTTAAAAGGATGGAAGAGTTCACCAAGTTGAGTGACATTGAGCAAGAAACAAATAACAATGGTCGAAGATTGAACCACCAATATATTTAGATAGTGACTCAACTTTTGATGTGTTTTATTTGTAATCTAACAATTCAATATGCTTTTTTGTAAGTAAAGTGCTGCATAATGTTATAAAATTGAGTGGTGTTTTTTGGACATTTCTTGTTTCTCAAAATCTGCTTTGCATAGTTAGCATGGTTCTGTTCTGCATAATTTTTAGGTGGATCCGAAGATGCATCTCCAGATACCTATTTATTAATTTTAAAAAAATGAGATCATTTAGAGAAACATCTTTGGAGAAACCCTTATTTTTGAAAAAAATAAGGCGGATCTGGAGATGTAAGGTCCTTATAGTTCTACAACTTCTTTAAATAAGGTCTCTCAATCCATTTTCATTACACAAACTAGAATGTCTACATATATCCATTTTGCTTTTGTGTATTTCAATGACACACAATTCCCTACTTTAATTTCGGATCTACGAGGACATACTTCTCATTAATTTGATAACCAAACTGAATACTCTCCTACAATATCTAAAAAATTGGAGTTGTCAAGCTCGTGTATCGTTCACCCTCGATAAACAACAAAGAGAATATACAGTCTGCAATACTTGAACAGAAGACGAATGATGATTTTAAGGTGATGTGGAGTACCTTTTATCGTTACTCAACAAAGAGTCTGATTGAAGTGGATGTGATGATTCAAAGATCAATCAACGATATTATAAAAATGTTGCACCATCTCAAACCACTTATTTTTAATAACATGTAATATTAAATTTATGTAATGTTTATCTATGTAATGTTTATTTCGGAATTAATTTAAGTTGGTTCAATTTTATTATGCCATTGTTGTTTCAGCTATTTTTACTTTGATCTAACAGAGCATACTCCGGAGATGCATCTCTGGAATTCTCACTGACTAATGAATTAAGGAGTATTTCGGAGATGCATCTCCAAATTAATTTTATAGAGAATAAGGATTTCTCACAATTTTTATTTCAGTTGTGTGTGAAAAAGTAGCGTCGGAAGATGCATCTCTAGACATGGAGGACATTTTAAGTTTTTATGGTGGCGTAGGAGAATTTCTAAAGGTGGAAAAACAATTTTAAAACAAAATAGGGGTCTAAAATTTTAACATGGACTTTTATTAATTATTAAAGTAAAATATATTTATAATACTCTTTTGTTGATATTAATCAATTATTTGATTGTGTACGGTTAGGCATTGAATATTAATCAATTATTTTATATAAGGTGAAGTCTAAGCTATCCCTTATAAAATTTAAAGTAATTTATTCTTAATGACGTATACTAATGAAATTTTATTATATAAAGTTAATTTTTAAAATCCCATATCAATCTAAAATTTTAAAATATATGGTCTGTATCATTTCTCTCTTAAAAAAAGTTCAATATCCTCTTTTACATCCAATGTGAGAATCATTATTCATACTTGACATATCAACATCACATTACTCAAAATTCAAATTATATATTATTTTTTTATTACATTTTAATTATTTCAGGTTTTAGATTAATATCTAACTTTAAAATTTTACTTATATGATAAAATTTAATTGATACACATCATAAAGAATAAATTCACTCTAAATTTGTAAATGGTAGCCAATAATCTACCTTTACACAAACTTCCAAAAAGTAATCACAACTTTAAAATGTCATATATTTGTTGCAAGTTGTGGAACATTTTGATTATGATAGTAGTTCATCAATAGACTTATATGTAACCAAAACATAACATATATGATATACTACATTAAATCCTCTATAAATGATAGACGAATGAAACTTATTTTTCCATTCTTTGGGTGAAAATGATGACACCAACTTATTGCATTATGAGCTAATAGTAATAGCTTGTTCCTTTGTAATCAAAGAAGAATGTGCTGCAGACAATCTGTTTGTTTTTGTTATCATACACTTAGTTTATATGTTTTTCAATCATCTTTTGTAGCTCCTTCTTTCTTACTCCTACCACTTTATCAATAACTTTTCCTTTCTTAACAAGCAAGAAAGTTGGCAATGAATACACCTGAAATGTTTGAACATGGAATGACTCTGATGATCTATCAACATACACAATATTAAACAAGTTGCAAATCATGTTTGGTATATCAATGATAAACCCCAAAAAAAAAAATTTATGTGTATGAATCAGAAATAAGTTGCAAGAGTAAATATGAGGTTTATGAATTTATTATGATGATGGTTGGACTATATATAGAGACCAAAAAGGAGTAAGGTTGTGTGATTTTGTTTGAAATGAATCAGATTCTTCAAAGTAGCAAGCTGTAAAATGGATTTTGAAGCTATTACTTGATTAGGACAAATTTGAGAATGTATCTATATCATAGTTGGATGGTCCCTTGATATACTAGCACATTGATTTAGATCTTCTAAGCCAAATATTAGTATCTTGGTTCAAGAAAAATTATATGAGAGAATCCAAGGTTAATCCAGACGTTTCTAGAAGCATTATAGTCTTGAACATATTGAAGAAACAAATCGTCTCCTATGTTGCTTCTGGAACAAGAAGTAGAGGTATTCGTGTGATGGAACAAAGTGAGAGGGTAGAAACAAAGTTGTGACAAGGTAGTGTTTATTTGAAAATTTAGTAAACAAAAAGAAGTTTAAATTTACTTAAGGGATTAAATTCGAAAAGATTCCAAATATATTATGCAAAAATTTGTAAGTTTGAACATGCTAGACCTTAAAGTCGAAACAATGAAAAACATGTAAAAAGAATTTTATATGTGTTAAAGTAACTTGAATGCAATAAATAATTTGTAAAGAACTTAATTTATGAAATGGAATATAAAATATATATTTTCTGATCACTCGTTTCTCTCAACACTGATACTTTGAGTTTATAGAATTTGTGTGTAAAACTGCAGACGCTAAAACGACAAACAAACATTGTTTATATACTAGTCCTAATAAAATCGTCGATAACGGTCGACGCAACAAAATATGCCACGTTCCTAACATCATGCAACTTTCGTCCTCACAAGTCTTACACGTGTTCTTGAATAATTGTCTGATCTTATTCATTTTGACTCTGTTCGACTGAGCAGTTAATATTGTTGAATCCTCCAAATTTTGTTAAGTCCAAAACATATTTTTGGCCTTCACTAGTGAATACTCCAACAACTCCTTCACTTCCCAAATCACGAATTGTTTCAACTGTCACACGTTCGCCACCTATCTACCACGCTAAGGTCAATCAACTTTATAAATACTTATTTCCAGACCTTCTTCAAACTTCTTCCAACTTTTCTCTATAATTGCAATCGTTTCTAACTCAAAACATACCAAACCCTCGCTCTTATTCAAGCTTCCTCTACAACTTAATTATGGAAGATTCTACTTCATCTTCAAAGGTAGACACCGACAAGAATCCAATAATATTATCCATTCCGGTATCAGAAGAAGAAACAATACAAAGTTTCACCCAAGAACCACCACAAGACAAAGACAAAACTTCTATCTTGAAGTCTCATGTACTCATATCTTTCTCTATTTCTAATAAACTTCTAGCATTTAAGGGTCTATATCATACCCCAAAATCGCGCCCTGCGAAGGTGAAGGATTTTTCCCCTTGTTATCTTCCAACAATGCCCTTTGCGTTGGAACAACATGCTTTGGACTTAAAAATTTTAGATCCTTCTGAACGTGTTTTTCAATCAGCCTTTCCATCTAACAACAAAGAATTCATTGTGTGGCTCGACAAAGTACAACTCCAACAAAAAGAAAAATAGGAAAACTTAGGTATTTTCTATTTAAGTAACTAACAAAGGCTACCTCACAAAAACCAGGTTAGATATCAAGCGGCTAGATCCACCATCAAGAAATTAAATCACATCAAAAGGGTGTTAGAACATAGTTTAGTTCTACATCCCTGTAAGAGTTTTGATGATAACAAACACATGATATATATATAAAGAACAAACATGCTCTCTTATAAAGTATTTTAATATCCATGGAAGTTATGATAAGAAAGATCTGTTAGAACATGGTTTGCTTCTACACCCCTGGAAGTTCTGATGTAAGAAGATAAGAAATATCGTTGTTAAAAACAAATATGTGTAACACATTTATATAAAGAAGTTCTAACGTTACAACTTATGAATGCACCAACATTGTGAAACAAAAACTCTGATATTCTGATATATAAAGTTCTGGAAAGTAAAGGAGTTTTAACGGTAACATTCATCTTCTGATGTGAGCATATTCTGAAGCGTCACAGTTTATTCATGGAAAATCAAAAGTAACGGCTATAAGAAGACAAGAGTCTTTATGTTTGGAAAGTACATTAACTCTATTTATCAACCTTCCAAAAGCATCTTCTTATGTCTCTTATGGATTGCTTATATAAAGAAGACGTGAAGAAGAAACATAGGCACAACCACTACGCACGAAAAAGAGAAATATTTACCCAGCTCTACCTTGTACTCTTCAATTGTGTAATACATCACTTTTATGATATTGTTTTTGTTAGAAAACATATTTGTACACGCCTTTCAATTATTACTTTGAAATTCCTTGAGAAAACCGGGTTGTGGTTTAGACTAAAGAAGACATTGACAGTTGCCATTGTGTTTGTGTAATAAAGTTTTGATTAGTGGATTAAGACCTTGTTTGAGAGAGGCGAAATCACCTTGGCGGGTGGACTAGAGTAGTTTGAGTTTAAAAGAACCAGGATAACCAACATGTCTTTTATTTTAAGTTTTAAAAACCCAATTCAAACCCCCTTCTTGTGTTTTTCCTTTCTTCAATTGGTATCAGAGCGCCTGGTTCTGGATGCAAACACTTAACCGTGTCAGAAAAAGATCCAAGCAAGAAAAACACTATGGTGGGGACCAAGTCAGATCATCAACGGGGATTATCATGATGAGAAAGACAGAATCAACAGAAGGCCCTCAATATTTGATGGTGAAAAGTTTGATTACTAGAAATACATAATCAAAAGTTTCTTTCTAGCTCATGATGCTGACCTCTAAGATATGGTGACTGGTGGCTATATTCATCCTAGTGATGAAAATGGTCAGAAGATTGACAGAAAGAAAATGTCAGATCAACAAAAGAAATAATTCAGAAACCATCGTAAAGCCAGAACAATCTTGTTAAGTGCTATCTCATATACTGAGTATGAGAAGATCACAAACAGAGATTCTACTAAAAACATGTTTGACTCTCTGAGAATGATGCACAAAGGTAACACTCAAGTCAAAGAGATCAAAGCTCTTGCAATCATCCATAAGTACGAAGCTTTCAAAATGGAAGAAGAAGAAGAAACTATCGAGACAATGTTCTCAAGATTTCAAACTCTGGTTGCGGGATTGAAAGTTCTGTACAAAGGGTACTCCACAACAGATCATGTAAATAAGATCATAATAAGTTTACCCAAGAAATGGAGACCCATGGTCACAGCCCTAAAAATGGCCAAAAATATGAACCAAATATCTCTTAAAGAACTTATCAGCTCACTGAGACGTCATGAGATAGAACTAGAGGAAGATGAGCCCCAGAAGAAAGGTAAGTCTCTCGCTTTTAAATCTAATAAAAAATCTGAACTTAATGTTTTACAGACAAAAGAAGAAAACTCTGATGTATCCTCGTCAGAAGAAGACGAACTATCTCGTCTCTCTAGAACACTCAAGTCAAAGAGATCAAAGCTCTTGCACTCATCCATAAGTACGAAGCTTTCAAAATGGAAGAAGAAGAAACTATCGAGACAATGTTTTCAAGATTTCAAACTCTGGTTGCAGGATTGAAAGTTCTGGACAAAGGGTACTCCACAACAGATCATGTAAATAAGATCATAATAAGTTTACCCAAGAAATGGAGACCCATGGTCACAGCCCTAAAAATGGCCAAAAATATGAACCAAATATCTCTTGAAGAACTTATCAGCTCACTGAGACGTCATGAGATAGAACTAGAAGAAGATGAGCCCCAGAAGCAAGGTAAGTCTCTCGCTCTTAAATCTAATAAAAATCTGAACTTAAAGTTTTACAGACAAAAGAAGAAAACTCTGATGTATCCTCGTCAGAAGAAGACGAACTATCTCGTCTCTCTAGAAGATTCAATCAGTTGTGGAAGCACATGCGGAGGAAGTTCAGAACTCCTAGAAGAACAGGGAATCATTTTGAATCATCTTCTGGATACAGAAAATCTAGTAACAGAGACATTGTTTGCTACGAATGCAACGAAGCATGCCATTATAAAAGCAATTATCTAAATATACAGAAATAAATGCCTAAAAAGAAGTTCTCCAAAGATAAGAAGAAACGTCTTATGGCAACATGGGATGACTCAGAATCTTCTGAAGCTGAAACAGAATCAGAAGATGAACGAGCCAATATAGCCTTAATGGCTAACTTATCAGATGACTCTGGATCATCTGAATCTGAATCAGACTCAGAGACAGAAGAGGTATTCTCTAACTTTTTTAGATCTCAATTAGAAGAAAGTATGCCATAAATTCTTGAAAGATATCAGTAACTTCAAGTCAAAAACAAGAACCTGAAAAAGGATCTAGTATCTGACTCTGAAGAAACTAAGAAACTTAAAACAGAAAACTCTGAGCTAAAAGAAACCATTTTTAAACTCAAAAATGAAAATTATGTTATTAAAAATAAATTACAAAAAGTTCAGAAAGAAATTGTTTTAGAAGTTTCTAGTAACTCTGATAGAATCATAAAAGAATATGATCATAACTTTCAAAAATTTCTAGCTAAAAACATAGATATGAGCAAGATGGCTTCAATGATCTATGGAGTTAGCAGAAATCATAGAAAAAGGGATAGGATATAAGGGTAAAGTATCTCAACCAAAGAAAGTTAAGGATATAGTAATAAAACACACACCCCATTTATTCTCACTTCACCTATGGACATACACATGATATAAAATATACAAGTAATGAATTTTCTGCTAAACCAAAATTCAAACAGAATTTTGGAAACTATAACAATCAAGGACCCAAAAAGATATGGGTACCAAAGGATAAAATCATCTATGTTTCGGATCTTTTTAACATCAAGGTTGAAACACCAATTTTAAGACCTAGACTCTAGATGATCTCTACACATGACAGAAAGAAATCATATGTTCCAAAGCCTGTGATTTAAATATGGAGGATACACAGGTTTCAGAGGCAATCAGAAAGGAAAGATTATTGGCTCTGGAACTATTGGTAACGGTATTGGGGGCACAACACCAGAAGTTATCTATAAAGAATCTCAAAAGAGGATCTCACAGAAAAATCTGAAGATCCAAACAGAAAGGAAAATCCAGAAGCAGATTAACTCATCTGGAAAACACGATTCTGGAAAAGGTAGAGGTAAATAAGACAGTAGAACAAAATATCTACAGAGGATTTATTCAGAAGATTTGAACGTTCTTCAAAAACGATTCATTTCAAAGATATAAGCATGAAGTTCAATATCAACATCTCTCAACTCTATAGGAAAGGTTTTCTTCTAAGGATGAATATGTGTTCAAATTCTGAAGATACTGAAACGGTTGAACTAATGCTTTGAGGCTCGAGTCAAATTGTGTTTTACTACTTTTTGATTCTTGACAAAAAGGGGAAGAATGTAAGATATTTTTATATTTTGACTCCTTCTCAAAACTCTGATCAGAACAATCTTCAGGGAAGTATTTTTTCTTCAACCTGAGTATTCAACTCAGGGGGAGTCTTTAATTATTTTTTGTTCTTTAAGTATTCTTTCAAAATATACAAGTTTTTGTCATCATAAAAAAGGGGGAGATTGTTAGAACATAGTTTGGTTCTACATCCCTGTAAGAGTTTTAATGATAACAAACACATGATATATATAAAGAACAAACATGCTCTCTAGTAAAGTATTTTAATATGCAGGGAAGTTCTGATAAGAAATATCTGTTAGAACATGGTTTGGTTCTACACCCCTGGAAGTTCTGATGTAAGAAGATGAGAAAGATCGTTATTAAAAGCAAATTTGTGTAACACGTTTATATAAAGAAGTTTTGACGTTACAACGTATGAATGCACCAACACTGTGAAACAAGAACTCTGATATTCTGATATGTAAAGTTTTGGAAAGTAAAGGAGTCTCAACGGTAACATTCATATTCTAGTGTGAGCATGTTCTGAAGTGTTACAGTTTATTCATGGCAAATAAAAAGTAACGGATATAAGAAGACAAGAGTCTCTATGTTTGGAAAGTACATTAACTCTATTTATCAACCTTCCAAAAGCATCTTCTTATGTCTCTCATGCATTGCTTATATAAAGAAGACATGAAGAAGAAACATAGGCACAACCACTACGCATGAAAAAGAGAAATATTTACCCAACTCTACCTTGTGCTCTTCAATTGTGTAATACATCACTTTTGTGATATTGTTTTTGTTAGAAAACATATTTGTACACGCCTTTCAATTATTACTTTGAAATTCCTTGAGAAAACTGAGTTGTGGTTTAGACTCAAGAAGACATTGACAGTTGTCATTGTGTTTGTGTAATCAAGTTTTGATTAGTGGATCAAGACCTTGTTTGAGAGAGGTGAAATCACCTTGGCGGGTGGACTTGATTAGTTTTAGTTCAAATGAACTAGGATAACCGACATGCCTTTTATTTTATGTTTAAAAAACCCCAATTCAAACCCCCCTTCTTGTGTTTTTCCTTTCTTCAAAGGGAACCAAAATAATATAAAGCCAAAACCTCCGATCTACTATAGGTGTAAGAAGAGGACATAGTTTTGAAGTCATT